ATCGCCCACTAGCCAAATCTAACACCCTCTTTCGAAAAGGTTACTTGTTGTACGTTACACAAGGTTTTGAATTTTGGAGCGACAGAGTCGCAAACTTCTGAACACAACAGTAGTAATAAATGTTAAGGCTATAATAACGATCATAGGTTGTAATAAATGTCATAGGTCGTGAAGCTTGCCGTATTTATATAATAGTATTGAAGAATTAAAAAAGCATTCACCAGAAAATTAAAAATTATAAAATTAATTTTGCATTTAAAATTTAAATTTGTTGGAGATAATTAATATGAATCGATCTTGCAGTTTCGGAATATCGATGGTTCTTATCAAAAATTGAACCAAACGGCTGCATTTGAGAATATTCAAATATTTAATGATAGCTTACATCTCTTTTTTCTAAATAAATATTCCCTGTTGATAGTCTTGTAGATTTGTTTGTGAAAATATATAAAGCAAATTTTGCTGAAATTTTTCGTTCTAGTAAAGATATTCAATTATTTGAAATTGATTCATCTATTACAGTAGCTAAAGGATTAGTATATATATTTTAGCAGTGGATACACATGTTTCATATCACTCTTTGCACATTTTAGTGCATTATATAAACTTCGTTTTACTAGCATCATTGAAAAGGACCAAAAATTGGCTCTGTTTATTGCTAAGATTACAATTGAATATATTACGGTGTATATATATTTTTTTTTAAAAAAAAAAATCCCATTAATATGAATGATTGTATGCTTTTTTTAAAGCATATTTATCTACTTTTTTAATCTACTGATTCTTCAGCTAACAATTTATCTACTAATTCTTCAGGTGTATACTTCATATTTTCAAAATCATCTGACAAACCAGTACTCTGAGTGGTAGGTATTTTATTTTCTAAATCATATTGAGACAAGTCAACTACCTCATTAATAAGTAATGTATTTTGAAAGTTTCAGATATTTCATCAGAATCATTTTTCAAGTCTATTACTTCAGCAATTGAAGAAAGATTGACAGCTTCTTGTAATTCTGTTTCAGTAAGTTCTTTACCATATTCATTTAACTCAGATTTTATATTAGTCATATAATATGACTGTATTTTTGTCATATTTTCTAATTTTTCAATGCTTAATCTTGTTCTTTTGTTACTAATCATCCATCTTAAAGTAGAGAAATTTCTTTCACAACCTGCTTGTGATTGAAAAATTGAAAAAAGATGCCATGTCAATTGAGCTAAATATTGTGGTTTGGTTTTTATTGGCCTCTACTATAAAAGTAGTATATCCATTCTGATTGCATATAGTAAGTCATATGGAGA